AAACTACATCGGCGTCCTGGGTAAGACGATTAACGGCATCCGACAGCAAGGCCTCTGATCAGGAGGTTTTTACGAGCGTGGAACAACCTCTTAATTGCTGGTGTTCCCACGTCCACCCTGACCCAGTGTGGTAGCACCTGTTAGGGCCCCATCTATGAGCAAATAGTCAATCCCCAAACTGGGTTCAAAACACAATGAAAGTTTAAAAATAGGTTTTAATACCAGAAATACTATTGTTGCCAGCAATAAATTTTTGAAGAAAAAATATTACCAGCAATACATTTTTTTAAAAGAATATTACCAGCAACACATTTTAAAAAAAAAATATTACCAGCAATAGATTTTTGAAAAAAATCACCAACTATCCATTTTTGAAAAAAAAATTACCAGCAATAAATTTTTGAAAAAATATATTACCAGCAACACATTTTTGAAAAAAAAATACCAGCTATACATTTTTTGAAAACAATATTAATAGAAACACACCTTTGAAAAAAAATATTACCAGTAATAAATTTTTGGAAAAAAAATATTACCAGCAATAAAAATTTTGTCGGCATTAAATAACCCATTGAGTTTGACATACCGTAAAACAAAACAAACCAAAGCAAACCTAAGATTAAGAAGTTGACGCCTGGCCAAATAGTTAGTGTTAATAGTATCGATTATTTGACCAGATTTCAAATGTCTCCATGGTCGATTAGTCAAGGAGACAATCCAAGCGGGTGGTACCGTTGGAATGAGCCAGAGATCATACCGCGAGTGATATTCACTTTTGAATAAAATTGTTTAAATGAAATTATTGATCTTGTGATAATACATTGCCACAAATCCTTCACTACTGACAGACAGAAGTTATTTATCCTTCCTTGACAATCTGTCTAGAGATATTGTATCTTGATCGAAACATCCATCCACTAGAAACACTGAAAAGCGTGCAATAACTGAAATACTTCAGAATAAATAAACCACGTGAGTTTTCAATACGTCGCAGTTGGAAATAGCGAAATGTTCAAGTCATTTTTCATTATGTGATTCCAAGAAAAGCAGTAATGCCACTGAGACAAGTAACATAAAAGAGAAACATTACAATAACAAAGAGGAATCAAGAGGACAGTAGATAACGATTGCATTTAAATTTATGAAAATCAAAATTAGCTGAAAAGCATGAAGTAGACTGAGAGTTTTATGAGCGAAATATTAGCATGAAAATTACGGTTACATCAAACAAATTCAACTGTAAATTAATAAGAAATAGCTGCCAATCAAGTAGAAGATTTAAAGCTGTAAGATCGAGATACTAAAGTAGAAAGCTCATCGGAACAATTATCATAAAAAATATTTATAGAAAATGTCCAGGAAAGCCACGTTAAGACGCCGGGAAAAGTGAATAAAGCCGAGATGCCTGATGAAAACTGATAATATTGTAGATTGTTCTTTGGATTATTCTAAAGTATCTCTGAATCCATTACAGAAGAACCAGACCAGATATGACAGAATATTTAATGAATGATAGCCTTATAAATGTAGAAGAAAGATTCTGTCGAGAAAAGTTATCTAGTACGACATAATAAAATACAAACAACCACAGTCAGACCTACAGATTGATTCATTATAATCCCCCCCATTCATTTCAGGAGAAAACGTTAGTGTAAGAATCCGCAGTCACTTCCCTGAAGGTTTGCTTCAGTGATGGTGAGGGACAGCAAGAATGCTTCTATGAGCCGATTAAAAGCGACCTATTTCTTGTCCCATATTTACATATTTTAAACCAGGCGTACTATTAAGATCAGAGTAAATAGTTGTATAATTAGGATATATACCTAGACGATAACTCGTGACATCGGTAAGGTCATTCATAGAATACTGAGGGACACATAAATTAATGTAAAAACATCTGAGAGTCCGTTCAAAACGATTTCTATTTCCCGATTAGTTAAAAAAGATTGAATGAAATCAAACATTCCTCTAGAAATACAATTAACTTTCGAGATATCTAAAGTAAACAGCCCAAACTCTACGTTTCTCATCTTAAGCTTGACATACTCTTTCATCAATAACTGCTAATACATGAGTAGTTCAGCTAAAGAAGACCTTGCGAAGGGAGACACATCATCATTTATATGTTGATCAGTGCCTCAATGGCTTTGCCAAAAGGAGGTCGAAAATATTAAGTCGATAGTTAGAGCGATCGGACGGCTCGACTGTGTTTTTAAACAATCTAGTACTATGCTTACATTCATCTACATAAATGCATTACTATTCTCGTTATATATATTCATATTATTGTCCTTATCTTATTTCCACAACGTTTCAAACATTGTTCTCTCCGGTCTTCATCAAGCGCTTGTCGATACGGTACCCTATATTTAATCTATGTTATTTCAATCTTCCCGTCAGACTTAGAGTCAGCATATACATGGTAATCAATAAGTGAGCAGAGCTAAATAAATACTAAGCGATATATCCCTAGACATGATCAATGGAAAGAGAGCAATATACCTCCATAGATTATATAAAGGTCTACGTTCTAATTTCCATAAAGGTTAGACGGATTGATAAACAGCGGATAAAGTGAGGCGAAGATTAATGCAACAAAAAGATGAGGATAACAGTCTGAGTGTAAATAATCCAAATAATGATAATTTCTCTTTCAAGGATTTCAGGCAGAAATCATAATTATTCTTATTTTCTTATTAGATTTGATTATTTTCTTCATCGTCTGTCCAACGTCTTTGCTTTAATTGCAGGAATTCGAACAAGATTTGAACTCGTACCTCACGCCTCAGGTTTTCTAATTTGGCAAAGTTGGCTTTTAAGGCTGATACACATCGCTGATCTTTCTTGTGCGGATTATGAGTAGATAATGAAGTATTCTCCGCTAGACCAAGAATTCTTTATTAAAAATAGTCCGATATTTGATTATTTGGTTAGATTTGCGGAGTAAACCAGAGCCAAGAACATTCAACACTGCCTCGATATATATTACGCTTGATTCATTGTATTCTATAGAAATAGCAATATTAGCATAGCAATATTCCTGTGTTATACTTTTAGATTCTGAGATTACGCATCTTAAATATTGATATTTCCCCATCGAACAATTACATATAATATATTTTTTTAAATTTCATAGTATCTTTAACCAATATAAACCATTTGGGATTAAAACTGAGAAAACAAATTCATAATTATAAAAAATAGAACTGATTTCTTTTAGGCATTTCCTTTTTATACTGAAACTCAAAAAGAGATGGACTCTTTATATGTCACGGATTTTTTTGTGGAATCCAGCATAATAATTTAACTGCATATTATGTTGTCATTATTAATGTTGACCTTGAAGATTGTTTTAAGACTTCGTCATAGTTTCTGTATTCAGTGAATTTTTCCAGTGATAAATTGTTAGCCCGACGAATAACTACTTTAGTTATCCATTTTCTAGACTGGTTTCCAAACAAGATAAAGAATCCGGTCTTTTCTGCTAATTTCGCTAGATACGAATAGAGGGGAGATTGATTCATACTCTTCCCAAGTTTATTTGTCTAAAAGCGGAAATGACGTTCTCAGAAAGACTTTAATCACAACATTCCAAACGCACTTGCCGCCCTGAAAACCACTACGCCGCGAATATATCCGAGTGAAGGTAAGTTAATTAAAAAAAAATGTGTAAATGAAATCAGAATGACTAAATCTTTTCACCTGATGAAGAATTATCATAATTCCGAAATAATTTTGTAAGTATCTTTATTGTCGTTACTAGCCATCCGTTTATCTAGCAAGATAAAGGCAGCCCCCAGTTTGTTCAAAATTCAGTCCTTTGGTTGTGAAATTACAGTGACCTCTTCAGAGCGCAGGCCTGGACTATGGCATATGTAGGCCATGCACTACTCAGTCTACACTGTCTCTGTCGTACCGAAAAGATCGAAAGGAATATAAAGAATTACATTTATGGACGGCTTGACTGCAGGAATTGCCGGAAAATTATCAATGTAGACAGTCAATCGTCTCCGGGGATTCCCTTTCGGGTTTTCTGCCTGGATTAACTTCCATAATAATTTTCTTAAGGGCACATGGCACAGTGGATAAAAGCGTTGGTTAGATCCAGTGACGATACCCAAAGAGTTGTGAGTTCAATACCATGTTAAAGCAGTGGAGAACTTGCAGTTGAATTAACAGGAGATAACTGATAATTGACATCCATTAGACATGGCACGTGGGACTAGAACAGTCTACCCCAGCGAGCAAAATAAAGTGTTCAGTTCGACTTTCAAACCACCTGAAGAAGGCTGGAGCGTAAACTCCCGAAACGATGTGATAAATATGGCAACAATGATGAGGACAATAGCCCGAATAATGTAAATACTGTACATAATACCTTATCTCAGAAATATAGACAGATAGTAATGCCCATATTTGGATATGACTGCAAGGCAACGCAGGTTTAAAATCAAGGTTTTTCTTCCCCTGGTTGGAGTACCTTCCTTAGCTGTAGAGCTCCATCTATCCGAAGCAGGCATTTTTCAGCTTTCTCCTATTTTCCAGCTTCGGGTTGATCTTAATTATCAGAGGCCATTTGAGACGTATGCCTCGGAAGCATTTTACAGAGAGTTGGAGCTTGTTCCCAGCATCACACCTGGCTGTGACAACCTTTGGAAAATATACAATGTAGTTATATAAACATTATATACATTACGTGCTTTAGAAGATCTAAAAACTTATAGTCTTTAGCTTTTTATCAAGAAACAGGAAAGCTTTATTAATTATCCGTTCGCGAAAAAGATAGAAACCTGCAAGGTTTCTTCATGTGAAATCGATACACGTGGTTAAAATTACAAATCTCCGAACGAGTTCATGCATAAGACAATAAGGTGTAGTTCATACATCAGGCAATATTGCGTAGTTATTATTATCGAGAAAGATTTGTATTTAAATGTTTATGAATACATAATAAAATATCTCCTTTCGACTTTGTACATTAGTTTGTCTCTAAAACCTACGATTCCTCTATGAATACAGAGGAAATAAACGAAGAATGTACATTTCTTTTACTAAGCTTCTTAGAGTCCATTGAATTCACACACTCTGAAATCACGGAAAGTTTATTAGCGTCTCCTTAAATGGACCACTGTCGAAGACGCTTGCATAAATGACTACAATTGTCACGTAAATCGATTCGCATTTTTCTACTGTGCAAACAGATTTATTGCTATATTTTTTGCAGACTTATGATGGCGTTCAGGTTGTTCGCTTATTTTCATTGCTTTTATGTACAAAAATATAAAAGAAATGAATTCAAATAAAAGAAAACGGGCTGCGACCGGAAGATCAATGTTCACGTGACGCGCGTGCCAATATTTTTTTTAAATTTTCATCGACAAAAAAAAAACAATATCGCGATTGCTGGAACTTTTTTTCACTAATTCCTGAATCGTGTTTATTTATTTAATTGTTATACAGATATCCGCTCTGAAAGGCAATTCATTATGTAAGCACATATATGCATGTATGGAGTTTTGATCTGAGATGACTTTCATACGGTTGCTTTGATGCAATTTCATTGATTGCAACTTTTATTACATTTTTCCTGCGATATTCTCAATTCACTTGCATGAATTCGTTTGCAAACGTTCATTTTGAAGAACGCAAGTCACGTTTTAAACAATAATCCCTTTATTTATTTTGCTTGCTTCTACCCTTTTTATCATCAACTTTTACAATTCAATGTGGTGACATTCATTTTAAAGCTTATACTCTTTTAAATCATATATGAAGAAGATTCTATATACCAATTCAAATAGATAGATCGATTGATCGATAGCGAGCTAGCTAGCTAGCTAGCTAGCTAGCTAGCTAGCTAGATAGATAGATAGATAGATAGATAGATAGATAGATAGATATGAACATGATGAGAAAAATAGATAGATATGAACATGGTGAGATAGATAGATATGAACATGATGAGATAGATAGATAGATTGATAGGCAGACAGACAGACAGACATATGAACATGATGAGATAGATAGATAGATAGATAGATAGATAGATAGATAGATAGATAGATATGAACATGATTAGAAAAATAGATAGTTAGATATGAACATGATGAAATAGATAGACATATGAACTATATGAGATAGATAGATACATACATAGATAGATATGAACATGATGAGATAGATAGATATCAACATGATGTGATAGATAGATAGATAGATAGACAAACAGACATATGAACATGATAACATAGATAGATAGATAGATAGATAGATAGATATGAACATGATGAGATAGACAAATAGATATGAACATGAGATATATAGGTAATATTTTTAAGAATGAAATACAAAGCCAATAATTTTGAAATGCATGACATTTAATTGCACACTGCAGTTAGCTTATTACACTTTCATCCCCATGCTTTCATATTTTTATAAAGCCGTTAATTTAATGGCGAATTTCTCAGTTGTCCCTTTCCAGATAGGCTTCGTTTATTTCTCTAACATTTCATTGTAATGAAAAATGAAGCCTGTAATAAACTGGATCATCAGTTTTTACACTGAGTAATTAATATGTTAGATAGAAAATTATAAACGTAAGTGAAAATCAAATTTTTACCGTTCCATGTAATGCCACCGAAATGCAATAGGTTATTGGAAATGAAAGACGAGAAAGCGTATATAAATAATAATAAAGGAAAAAGCTTCAGAAGAAATAGTATATGGCGTTTGGTTTTGAATTTAAACTTTTGAACATCGTAAGTGATAGGAAAGAAAGAAGATCGAAAAGTTTCACAAACTTAAGGCACCACAAAACAAACTATTAGAATACAACTTACGATCTTATCTAGATATTGACATAGTAAAACTATAAGACCTAATTGCAAGTCTAGTACTAAGTCTAAACTCATGTGGTCACGGTACCCAGGAGAACAATTCATTAAAAAATTGCCATGAAAATACACAGGGAAGCCAATTCACGGCGCGAAAAAAGTGATTGAAGTCCAGATTCCAGGACATGACAGATAACATCACGGACTGGCGGGAAAATTTGTCTAGTACGGCAGAGTGAACAATGTTTCCTGGCAGTAACATATAACCCCACACGTCATGACAGACCAAGAAGGCGTAATGATTTGCATTGCTGGAGGTTAGCATCAGCCATAGAAAGCACAAATAGTCATCTAAGATAACAAAGATTGTAGTTTGGTTTTGGAGGGGGTAAAATTTACAAGTCATTTGCGTAAAAATAGACTAACGGTCATTTTAGTGATCAGCTGCTAGTTTTATTTTATGAGATCTATTGAACTTGATGTTACGCCAGAATTAAATAGCTATGACATCAGCATGAATACCGAGCTGGAAACGGATAACATCGCAAAGTTCTTTGATAAAGATAGAAAAAATTTAGTCGGAGGAAAGAGAATTTGGGGACAAACGCATTAATGGAGAATGATCTAGAACAGTGACTCTGCAGCACAATTTTCAATACACGATTTATTAAGAATAGGAAGAACTCAAAAATCCAGCTGTTTGGGAAGAAAAGCGGCATCTAAAATGTCACACATCTTCGAAATATCTAAATCCACAAATCGGCATGCGCCCTTCTTATCTAAAGCTTGGCAGAGTGTTACAGTAATAATAGTTAATGCATTAGCAGTTGACTTACCATAACACTTCACCTTCGATGGGTTTATTTGATAACATCTACTGTGAATAATTTTTTTTGTTAACAGAATTGGAATAATGCCTGCGCTCATCGAAACCCAAGATCTTTGAGAATTAAATCTTATCTTTTTTCTAAAGTGCTTTATATGATGAGGAATAATTCTCAATGTCGGAAATCAGGAATTCAATCAACAAATCCGAAGAAATAACAAAAACAAAACAAAATGTCTCTTTTTTGTCTTACATATTGACTTTCAGGCGATAGAAAATATCAACAAGTTCAACTGACGACAATGATTATTACTGCAAGTTAAAAGGAAATAAGTTAACTTGGTGTTTGGATCCCATAAAGGTTAGACAAATGAGATTTTTGATAAGATAAGATTTCCAACTTAGAAATATAGAATTAATAATGCAACTGTTATTTGAAATTGGTCAGATGAATCATTGTCAATTATGAAAATAATTTGAAAAAGACTTATTTACTCTTATTTGCTGCTCTTTTCACGGCAACAGCCAGACGTCTTTCCTCGATCACAGTGTTGAGTGAACAGAGGGTCGAGTTTAGTAACAGGCTTAAGCTTTCTTTCTGATACATATGCATTATGTTATATGTTCGTGTATTTACTATCTTGTAGTGGCAAGAAATTGTAACGTAATATCTATCTATCAATCTATATAGATATCTGGCTATCCGTCTGTATATTCATATGTATAATTGCGTGTGACACGTTTCTTGGTATGACTAACATAAAGGGTAGTTAGTCCCTGTTATAATTGCCTGCTCAGATACATTTGTGTTTGCTTAACACACACAGAGATTAACTGTGGTATATGGCAAGCATGCTGAGAAAATCTTACAGTTTCTCGTGCGATCAGCAGGTTGAGCAAAGCCAAAACCGCAGTCAAAATGACATGTGATTTTGTGCTGCAACCATCAAAATACGGTGCACTAAAAAGGGTTGTTTCAACTGCAGTTACAGCTTTCAGGCACTTTCAAAATGAGCCGCACATTGGGATCGCTTAAGCAAACCGATAAATGCTAAAATAACGATGATGATATTCGAACCCGTGTTTCATTATCGGAAAAGCACATTTTCAGAAGAACTATATAGAGAGAGCTAGACCGCACAATATGCCACAAGGTCTATTGCCAGCTTAAGCTAAAGAGTCCAGTCTTCTTTACTATTGAATCATAGTTAGATAGACAACTAAATGGTTTCATATATTTCACAGGGTTGTCTGCGTATAAATTAATGCAACAAACTCGACCTCAATTCGAACTCCGTTCTACAATTTCTCATTCCGCACCGCTATCTTTTACATTTATCTCATATACTACATATATACATCGAAGACGATGGGTGAATCATATATATATATATATATATATATATTACGAGTCGATTTTTATATTTTTATCAAGGCAAGTGAGGAATAGAATTTGTTTATTAATACAAGATACATATGTACATTATACGATGGGTGAATCATATATATATATATATATATATATATATATATATATATATATATATATATATATATATAACTAGTCGATTTTACGAGTCGATTTTACCAAGGCAAATGAAGAATAGAATTTGTTTCTTAATACAGGGTAGATATGTACATTGTACGAATCAAAAAAGGATTTTTATTATTAGTATTTTGTTGTGTAAATAATTGCTTTATTGACGCCCTTAATTCTTCATGGAATGCTATAGACTAAATTCTTTAGTAAGTCAACGTCCTTCGCTAGATTTTTCCATCATTCTTTTAATTTCCGAAAAAGTTCCTCTTCTGTCTTAAATTTCCTATTATGGACACGCTCGGCCATTATCACCTAAAGCTTTTCAATTGAGGTCTGTCTAGGCCACTGGAAGGGTTGCAATTTACCCTCGTCACACTTCCTCTCTAGATAACGTTTATTCTTAAACAATATGCTTGGGGTCGTTATCGTGTTAAAACGTGAAGCGTTGACCTTAGGCAAAAAGTTTTTTAGCAGAAAGCCAAACGTATTCTATTTCTCACTTTCTCACTTGTTTTGTTAAAACACAAAAATCGACTTTCTATGGATGCGTTCATTTTTACTTCATACTATATATATATATATATATATATATATATATATATATATATATATATATATACAACACAAATATCAAAAGAAAACTTTTTTAATCATTGCTCTCACCTTGAGTTATAGAATTTCCTCGACTAGCTTATGGATCTTTTGTGTCCTTTCATCTTAAAATAAGTTTTGTATATGTTCTTCCTGATTTTTACCTTGTGTTTGATGGATCAGGTTTATCTTTTTATTTCTTTTCTTTTCTTTTTTCGAGTGTTTAATTTGGTTTTGGAAAGCACGATGGAGTATTGCATAGGAACTTAAGGAATCAGAGTACAGAGTTCGAATTCCAGTCGATTTCATTACATTTACTTACGTGCTAATACTCTTGGAAAAGTTACTAATTCATCTTTTGAACTCCAACTATGGGAAAATAGCAGAATAGAATATATATAGATAGCAGATAGATAGAGAGAGAGAGAGAGAGAGATAGACGGACTGACGATTACGTCTAGCATGAAACAGCCTATCGCCTCTGAGTCTTCATTTCAATGTTTACATTTATATTTATATTCGCATACGCTAGCACATGTTAGAACTAGTTTTTTATATATATATATATATATATATATATATATATATATATATATATGTGTGTGTGTGTGTGTGTGTGTGTGTGTGTGTGTGTGTGTTTGAATGAGTCTATGTACAGATATAGAAATTTCTGGGATTAGGAATTATTACGATGTTCACTATTATGAGAGATATTGTCCTCATCTTTATTGTTGTTACTACAAGGTTTCATCTGTTGTACCCTCGGGTCTTCATCGGGTGTATGGCGACCCGGTTAACATCCAGAAAATTCCGAACGGAACACATTACTTAATCAATGGAAACAGTCTGTTTCCATTCCCCTGCCTATGTTTAAGAATATATCGTCTGGTTCTTATTTTTAGTACTGCTCATTGATTGCTCACCCTGAGGCCAAATACACACTGACCTTTAATTAAACTCACTATTTGTCACAACAACCACTATAAGACTATCAACTCTAGGCCGTGGTCTGACGCATCCAATCTAACCTAGCTATCATCACTATTAGCCCGCATGTAAATAGCGTAAATAATTGTCTTTGAAAATCATTTAAAAGGAACTTCGTCATTATGGATCTTTTGTTATATCTTATTTTGTGTATATGACTGATAATTCGATTTACATAAACAGAAGTAGCAGACTTTGTTTTTTCTTTAAAATTAGAATGTTAAAACGAATTAATGTGTACACAGCGAACACCCAAGGAAAAATTTTTTGAATAAAATATAGAATTCGAAATATGAAACCTCAGTTATTAGAATGCATCAAAGCAAATGACAATATCCCTTCTCAACAATGGATTTTCTATGTCACGAAAGAGTTTGAAGAAAACTAATGACAACAAAATTAAAGACAATAAAAAAGTGTGAAATAAACGATTGTCAAGTGTAAAAGGAGTTTAATCGATTGTAAAGAAATTGAAGGTTGCCATTATCTACACAAGATTCGATAGATATTTTACGATGAATGGTTTTGATATTTATGAAAACGCTTTTTAGTGATTTCTATATTTTAAATGAAAAACCAAAGCCATGAGCAGAAGAAATTTGGAACTGGCATCTTTGTATCAATTTTCCGAAATAATTTATCTATTTTATCTTAAGGAATAATTGGATTATTCTTGAAGACGTTCAAATTTGTGAATGTTATCTGACGTTATTTTCTTTTCTTTTTTCTTTCACCGAAGATTTATCTCTCTGTCATTCTATATGTATCTATCTCTCTCTCTCTCTCTCTCTCTCTCTCTCTCTCTCTCTCTGCACAATACACGCCTATTTAAAGGTCACTTCAATAATGACACAATTAGTTCTTGTTCACCGAACAGAAGCAAAAGTGCGCAGTTGTCAAGATAACTAAACTTTTCACTCTGGTGTGCAATATCTTATTAAAACATGTAAAGAGTACAATAAAGTTTCAACTGACGAAACATATCAGTGTAATTTAGCTTAAATTAACATTAGCTATACATATATATACATTCATATATATGTGTGTGTGTGTGTGTGTTAATCATATATATATATATATATATATATATATAAATTAAGATATATAATATATATATATATATATATATATATATATATATATATATAGCTTAACGTGGGTAAAATCTTTCACTTAGCTTTTGATGTTATGTTCAGTATATCGACTCCAGCGTTTCGAAGACGGAGGATATCAGCAATTTACTGCATTTTTCGGAAATTTGTCTTTTATGCACAATTAACACACACAGACACACCCACGCACACAGACACACGCACGCTCAATATACATACATACATACACATATATATATGTGTGTGTGTGTGTGTGTGTGTGTGTGTGCACCTGGTATAATAGCAAAATTGTTAGATTAAGCTTTGAACCGTTGTATCTTAGAAATGATTAAAGATATAATACTACATTCCTCCGAGGTTTTTATGAGAAAATTGGACTCTACTTTGAACAACAAGAATGTATTTAGTTCTAAGTTGGAATGCTGATCCGTCTTGCTGTTGTGAAGTCCTGATCTCTACTGTTCCGTGTACATATGAAATCTGTATCTAAATACGTACTGCTTCTCTCTTTCTTTCTTTCTTTCTTTCTTTCTCTCTGGATGTGCTTGTCTTGAAATGGGTGTCGGCTCTGAAGGTGAAATCGTAGAGCCGGGTTCGATTTCATTCACATACATTCAAGTACTCTTGACAAAGGTTTGAATAAATCCCCTCCTCCAGTTATTGATTAAGCAGTAGAACATGTAACTGGAATATTTATTCGTAGAATCTTCTGAATACAATATTCATCCGAAAAAAGATTATTGTTAGTATGCCAATGTCTATCTTATGATATTCACCACAAATCTGTCTAAATTTCCATATAAATAATATATCTATGGCTGTGTGTGGGATATGCTGGTAGCTGAACAACTATCGTCGCAGACAGTTGAGTGGGCGAGCCAATTCCAAATTCCATTGCATTCGCGTAAATGCCTTAGGGAAATGCATAAAACCACCTTTTTCTGTCTCCTACCTATTGCATAAATAACAGGCTAGATTGGGCTGCCCATAGTTAAGTGACAAACAGTAGAAAAGAGAACAAGTGAAATTATTCTATTATATTTTATAGGAAGCTGTGACAGTTCACGGATAACATTGAAAGTGTTAAAGACGACAGTCATTTATCAGATAAACTTTAGCTGCAGAACAAGGCACAAAAATAAATTTTTGTTGCAGAACAAGGCACAAAAATATTTACCAAATATCTATATCCAAATGACTTGAACACTTTCAGTAACAGCAAAAATTAAAATAGATTCTACACGTAACTATAAGGAAAACGAAGACATACTAAAAATGTTGACGTTTCATACTATTTTAAAGAAAATGTTAAAACGGGAAAATTTATCAATACTAAAATCGGTAAAAGTTATTGGACTTGGGAAAACTGGTTTCCGAACAACAAATTTAACAGAAATATTTCATAAATTTCAACCAGCCGTAACACTAAATGACCAATCACTGAATACCGAATATTTCCTTCCACAGAAACACCAGTTTATACAATTGTGATGGCCTGTTCTGTATTTGTATAAGGCTTACACCAATATCCCATTGAAACACCGGTTCGCATATGGCCTCCTAAGTTAAGCAACATCGAGCCTGGTCAGTACATAGACGGGAGGCCGCTTGGGAATACCAAGCGCTGTGAGTTTGGATGTGCGGTTAGTTTAATGGATAATAGCTCGAAATCTTTAGTCGGAGACCCGATATCTAATTCCATTTGGGTTCTTTATAGATATTTACGCGCAAATACACATGGTAAAGGTACGACTCCACATATTCTCTCACTAGCTATGGGTTAATTATTAAGTCCTGTATCGCTAAATGAATATTATCTCCAAAAGAAAAGGTTCTTACAATCCAAAAAATATTTGTTCGTAAGCCAAGGAAAAAGAATCAATATATTTCTAAATATACATAGGATTCACTCTTTATATACACACACGGGTTGATGTATATATTGGTGCCATAATTTAACGTTATCATTTATAGCTTAATATATTTTTGTTAGTCTTGGTCGCTTTTCTAATATACTTTCTTTGTTCTTCATATATTACGTTATAATTTCTTTATCTACTGACCTCGATACTTAGTTTGTAATATTTTCATGATTTTTCTTGATCATTTCAGCTGTACTGAAACCGTACCCCAATCCACTTTTTCTTTACTTTCTTAAACGTTACCTGGAGAACAGTTTCCCTTCCTTTCTTGTCTCCTAATCGATTTTGTTCGTTCATTGACAGTAAAATGTACCTTCTTTCTGTGCTTTCATTTCCATTCCGACTTACTTCATTTTTTTTCCTTTCACTTCATGCCACTTTGTGTCAGGTCGAGTTTATTAAACCGGTTTACCCATTAGGCTTTTCTGCAATGGTGTCGAGTCACCAAGCATATTTTTTTAGCTAATTTGAGGGCGCTGAATCTAAAAATGGCCATATTTTTTTTTGGTTAGCTACCACTTTTGCTTTATAGAAATACACCTTTTTTAGAAAAAAAAAAGCATTTTTTCATTTGTTTACTCTATATATGATATTGACCGATGGCAATATTTCTCAAAATAAAATCGTAGAAACCTCTCAATTCGTATTTAAACCGACAAATATCGTTCTTCTTATTGAGAAATAATATTTATGCAATAACAATCAGACACTAAGTCTTTTAGAATAACACGATTGAATATACCAAGACCAACAAGTATTTTCATCAAATATTTTAATAAACTAACAGCCGAAATAAAACCTTCGTGAGCATAAGAACTATGGTAAATATTTTCTCTTTCTTGATTATCTGTCATCTTCAGTGTTATTTAATTCCCTTTTGATACTCCAGCAGTATAATGTACAATGGAATAGGTGCATTCAATTAGGATGTCTTTAGTTGGAATTTTTTTTCCAACTGTGAAAACAAAGTAATCTCAATGTGCTTGGTTTCCTTCCGGCGTGAAGGGATGAAGTGATGGGATAAATTTATTAATATCGAACAGAAGATTTTAGGGTTTCATGTTTTTGATGTAATCTTAATTATCAAGTTTACCAAAGTGTATTACTGATAAAGTTTGTCAGTTAATTTGAATTTTGGCGATAAATTGGGAAAATTCCGTACTTCTATTTAAAAAAAAAACACTTTTTCTTATAAAAAATAGTTTATTTCAGGTGGTTGACATAAATTGCTCGGCCTCTCTGAAAACTAATGGGTTTCTACGCCATTTATTAACTAAATTTAGTGAACAATGACGATCGTAAATTGATCTTTTTTTCCAAAAATGAGCAATTTCAATACAGCAAACTTAGGTCATTTTTGAAATCAGCACCATCAAATTTGCTAAGAAACATGTCGAAATCATTACAATGAATGCAGCCAGTCCATCGTTGAGTGAAGTGATTCATAGTGTGGAATAAATGGTCTGGGTGGAAGGTTCTAAAGCCACGATTCTGGGGACAAGGCGTGTCTTTGAATTTGAGAACATCGGCTCTGGTTTGACCAGGATAAGAAGTGACTCCGTCCATTATAACAAACAAGACACTGTAGACGTGTATATATGTATAAATACTTCAAAATCTTTTAATATAGAAATTTGGAAGTAAATGGTCAGGTGGTCAGCTATTCAGCGGCTTTACGACAACATCTGATCATGGAAGAGATGGTGTACATGACATTTATATATATATGTCACGATTTTTATTAATATACATTTATTATATTCATTTTCTATATTACATTTGGTGTCATTCAATATTTAACTCTTTTTCTCCACACGTTTATTTTTATTTTTTCTCATTTATATTTCCTTTTCTCCACTTTATCATTTCTATGTTCTTTCTGCTTTTATCAAGTCCTTTATCGTTGACTTCCACTAATCATTATGTCTCATTACTCTCCTCATGTCCTTGCTATTCTTTTTACTGCAACGCATTCATTCTCGACAATCCTTCTTTTCAACCTGCATAATATTGTTTCTATTAATGTCCTCGCTAGGCGTTCTCTGAATCTTCCGTAGTGCAATAAACCCATTTCTCTGCAACGCTTTGCAGGGGAACATGATTTCCCTAGTGTATCTTACAAGGGTCCTCAAGATAAACTTAAGCATTAAATACTTGCACAAATGACAAAGGTGAAACCGATATCTTTACTTTCTTTTGTATGCACTCGACCCGCTTGAAACAACACCAGCTACATGTTTAGTTCACAAAATAGTTTTCATATTCTGCATTTTTCATATATGAATATTAGAGGATCTTCCGATAAACCTGTATGCAAAAGCCAATCTGGAAATATTATTCTATTTAAAAACACTGTTTTATAATAAAAAGAATACAGTTGCATAATGAAAATCAATTATTGAGTACGGTGATGAAACACTTATTATCTTTGCCTAATATTCGATTGTTTCAAAAATATATTCTTTTTTAATCAAAGGGAAACCCTTTATGGATGTGCAAATCTCTCTCTCTCTCTCTGAGTTAACAGTGATTCGCAATGAGAAATCGACAAGCTGGGTTCGAATCCGGCTGAGATCTTTAGAATTACTTTCGCACAAATACCTGTGAAATATGCATGAGATGTTCTCTTCATTATAGGTACTGGATAAATAGCAGGGTAAACTGAGTTGTTAGCCTCCACGACGCAATTAGTCAGAAGGAAAGGTGCAGCTAGCTTATATTGATAATAATAATAATAATAATAATAACACTTATTATTATTATTTTTATTTTCTTTGATTTCTGGCGTTTACACATTTCTTTCCGGGTCCCGCCAAGGGACCTAAGGTTAGAAATGACATCATGACGCTTTCCACTGACAAAAAAAAATTACATAGATAAAGCCCTTCGTAAAGTGTGGGCTGTACTTGTCAGAACAATTTTTTGTATCTCCTTGAGGCATGGACTTCCAGGAATCCTTTCAATTAGTCTACTGCAATCTTTTCCAACCAGTCCAAGGGCTCCAACTACAACAGGGATTGTTGATGTTCTCATATGCCACATTTTCGAGATTTCTATTTCAAGGTCCTTGTATTTTGACAGCTTTTTGAATATCTTCAAATTCTATTATTATTATTATTATTATTATTATTATTATTATTATTATTATTGGGACTTTACAATACACACAGACTGAACAGTCAAAGATAATCGCCCAGACATCGTTATCAAACACCACAAAAACACTGTGGGCTTTCTTATAAACATACCAGCCCCTGCAGATTGTAATGTATCTTTGTAGATCTTCAAAAATTTCACAATACAAGGAGCTTAAAATGAAAATCTCAAAAATGTAAAATCTCAATAATTTCATTTGTATTTGGATCCCATGGGTTGATTGAAAAAGGTTGCGATAGACTCAATGAAGTGTTACCTAATATCCCATGCCTTAACGAAATACAAGAAATTGAACTCCCAGTTACAGCTTACACATTACGAAGAGCTTTATGAATATAAAATGTGTGAGATCTTAGTTTATTTGTTTTGTTTTGTTTCGTTTTGTTTTTGTTTTTTTCAAAAATGATTAATGGAAAAAGTCATGAAGCCATTTTTGACTTTAGGTCTCTGGTTATAGCTCGAAAGGAAAAAAATGTGTTTAGAACAGAAATCCAAAAAATAAAATAATAATAATAATAATAATAATAATAATAATAAAAATATGTGGCACACGGGAACATCAACAATCCCTGTTGTAGTTGGAGCCCTAGGACTGGTTGAAAAAGATTCCAGTAGACTAATTGAAGGGATTCTTGGAAGTCCATGCCTCAAAGAGATACAAAAAATTGTTCTGACAAGTACAGCCCACACTTTACGAAGTGTTTTATCTGTGTATTTTTTTTTTTTTTTGTCATTGGAAAGTTTCATGATGCCATTTCTAACCTTAGGTCCCTATGCGGGACCCGGAAAGAAATGTGCGAACGCCAGAAATCAAAGAAAATAAAAAAAAATAATAATAATATCATGCATCCATGATATAAACGTTGTAGTTTAAAAATATCTGTAAAAGAGTCGAATCACCCGAATAAACCGATAAAACTGGAATTACAACACCTTTTCTGTTATGAAATTACAGACGATAACCACCAGCCTCTAATTGTTGAATTCAATGTCCACTTATATATATATATATATATATATATATATATATATATATATATATATATATATATATATATATATATATATAGTATTTCTTATGTCGTAGAAAAAGTATCTCTTCTTTCTCTGTTTAACCAAAGGTTGTCGTAGTGAAATAATGTCGCGTTTCCTCTGTGAGGGATTTCACAGGCCCAACCGAACTACATGTTGCATCGTATACAACACAGAGTTTTCTGCACATTTCTTGTACACTACTTAATAAAATTCTATTCTATAGCGTTAAGAGAAATATCTTGACAGACAAGGCAAGGTAATACTTCAAAGTATTCTTTCACACGCAACTCATTTTGGTTTTATGCTTATTTAGAATGAAGTGGAAACGTACGCATTCAATTTCTGGTTTTATTTTTAATCTTTGTTAAGTCTGTTAGAATAACATACTGTGTTTTTATAGGCCCAATTATTTTGAAGTATGTCTCCAAAAATATTCAAAATCTATTCAGTAAAATAACCGTCTGTTCATGTTATTTGATTTGATTTGATTTATGGCAAGTTCGAATAAGTGAAAAT